TAAACCTGACACCACCCTCCTTGGGAGAGCCGGGAAGCTCAGGCTCTATTTTACAGTTGTCATGGAAACAGAACACGTATTGATCACAAAGCAGTATGATAGGTTTGGGTGCATTCATATGACATAGATGCTTAACGGCCCTTTTTATGCAGGGACAGTTAGAGATTTTGGAGATCCTTTTTTTTTTTTTTTTTTTTTTAGATGCTAAACAATTTAAAGCTGAACTCCATGAATTATTTGCATTGTATATGTTCATTGGTTCGGCTTGGCACATATGTATTCTTCATAACTGATGGGCTGCTGGGATAGCTGACAATTGCTATAGCAGTTGCTACTACAGGAATAGTCATGATCTTCTGGGTCCGGCTTGGATTCTAAGCGAGCAGCTGCTCCACTGCACACCAACCCAGGGGTGGACTGACCATTTGGAAACTCAGGCACTGCCCGAGAGCCTGGGGTCAGTAGGGGCCCCCATGAGATGCCCCTGGTACCTTTTTCATAGGCTTTTTTGAGTTTGGACAAGGACACAGGGGCCCCATGATCCCCTATTGCCTGGGGGCCCCATGAGTTGTCAGTCCGCCCCTGCACCAACCACAGGGGTCGCTCTGCTTTTCATAGAATGCCTTATTTTTTTTCAATGAATAGACGTTCTCTGATTGGATGAGGTGGGGAGGAGGGACAGTGCCTTTAAAATGTGTGGCAGCGGTCCTGAGCAAGCGTCAGTGTGTTGTGAGGCAGCGCTTACATAGAGCTGCTGGGAGAACACAGTGATTATTGCTATCAGCTATTACTGCTGGCAATAATCACATTAAATCTGACAGGCTGGTTGTACCCAAGTCGATACAATCAGCCTGCCCATAGATGATTTGAACCATCTATGACCACCTTTACTAATGATCTGGTGGTAGTTGTAAAATTTTACATTTCCTCTGCCTCACCTGAGGAAGAACAGACAGCAATAAAAAAACCTGACTCTAACCCTTCCTCCCTCTATACAAAAATTCAAAAAGAAAAACATTTTGGCGTTTTAAAGTCTAACTCCAGGAACTGTATTTTTCGAACACTTACTTTGTGCCAGCTTGGCTTCATGTACTTATCCATTTCCGATATCTGGAGGCATAGGTGTGTGTGCGGAGAGTACCTGGGCACACTGTAATCACTCCATGCGCCATAGGCGTAGCTTCAGGGGTTGCAATGGTGACCTCACTTATGCTCCAGGAGGCTTGTGCAGCCGCCCTGCCACATTAGGTTTTGCAGAACCTGGACAGGAGCAGGGGTGGCATTTACTAGAACCGATCTCCTTTCCCTCTTGCAACCACTGAAAGCTTGCTTCTCTACCTTCTGCCAGCATTCAACTGCTGTTTTTGAGGGAAAGGGGATTGGTTCCAATAAATGCCGCCCCTGCTCCTGTCCAGGTTCCCCTACTTTCTGCTGCCCGGGCCCCCCTGTGTGCTCCCTTGGTCCCCCTTCCACAGCGGTGCTGGATTCCCCTACTCACCTCTTCCTCAGGCTGCTGCAGGGGATGTTTCAGAATGGAGAGCAGGGAGAGGTGCCAGTAAATATGTCTTTTACAAGCCCCTTCCTTTTCTGAATGAACACTGTGAGTAATTGGTACCAATTACTCACTATGTTCAATTAAATCTGATGCATAGTAAACTGCGTTTACTTTGCTTTAGTTTAAGAATGTCTAGGAAGCTCTGAAGAGAGCTATTCCTGTCCTGTGCAGCTGAGGCTGCAAAGATGGAGATTGAGGACTGTGTCCTCAATCTCCTTTCTCTGTCACAAAAGTGAGATATCGGGGGTCTGTTTAGACCCCTAATATTTCACCAAAGCCCCCCAACAGGGCTGCTAAAAAAATTGTATTGTAAAAAAATAGTGCCTTACTGACACTGTCCACTTTTAAAGTAGGCTAAGTTTATATTTTTACAGTGACATTTGTTTTATTATATTTTTCTAAAATTTACTTACTATAAAAAAAAAACAGGGTGCTGAACTCCACGTTTGTTTACGCTGTATCGCTGGGGAAAAGCGTTTTCCATGTCTCCCTGCATAGGCAATTCAGTAAACTGGGAGGGCTCCGGCTGGCCGGTCAGTCCAGACCCTCAGAGTTTCTACTTTCACCTATTCAAGGTGATGGGGCAAACCCTTTCCCCCAGTGGCTCACTCTCTGCTCACCCCCCTAAAACAGGCTAGTACAGCTCCTACCTCCCCACCCTGCTCAACCGTGCACTTCCACATAAGGTGAGGGCAGGCAGGCCATGCTCTGAGCTGCCTGGTGAAAACAGTGGGCTTGTATGTAAATCTGGAAGTCAGAGGGTCTGCCCAATCCAAGCTCTCTGAGATTCCTCCTTCACATACAATATGGTGTATCTATACACAAACACACGTGTGTGTTTGAGTTTTGGGGTGCACACCTCAATCCAATAGGTGGAGGCTGCTTGAGATGATGTAAATTACTTTAGTAGACAGTATTACATACAGCAACAGCTGAGATCTTTTAGGATTTTGTGTGAGCGGCTTCCCCTCTGCACACTGACCACAAAGGGTTGGCCACTTGGCACTGCCACGATTCACAGTGGCACTGCAACAATTTTTTCAATGAATACAAGCTGTTTTCTGATTGGATGAGTGTAGATTGTGACGTTATAACTCCTCCTCTCCACCTCATCCAATGAGAGAATGGCTTGTGGCATTTTATGAATGGCGGAGGTGCTGACCAAGCAATCCCTTATGCTTAGTGTGCAGAGGAAAAGCCGCTCGCACACAACCTGGAAGATCATGGCTCTCACTGGATATAACTACTACTGCGATTTACAGCAGCCCTCCAGGTATCAGATATGGGAACTTACATCGAACCAAACCTGTTCAAGGTAAGCATGCAAAAATATTATTCCTAGAGTTTAGCTTTAAAATGTAAGAATTATGTATTTTAGGATAAAAAAATGTTAATGCAAAGATGAGGTTCTGTGCACTGCGGTCCTCAGGGACAATGTCATGAGTTACTAGCTTAGGTATACCATTTAGATACACCAAATCAGAAATAATGTTACTTGTTTTCAGAAACAATTGTAAATACAGTGCTGCATTTTATTATCAATCAAGCATGTGAAGGTCTGAGACATGCCCTAATTGGCTTTCTAACACAGTAATACTGAACTGCATGGGGTATCCTTTGCTTTTCTGTTATTCAGAACAGCACTGGGATTAACTAGCTGTCCCATGCAGGGCCGTTGATATGGTGGTACAGGCAGCTCTCCTGTACTGGACAGAGGCTCCATGCTCTCTGTCCCCGTACACTGCTCATTGCCAACGAACATGGTTCACTACCCCTGTAAACTTTTTTTTTCACCCCTATACACGGTTTATTGCTCTTTGTAAACTGTTCACTGCTCCCTACATAGTGCACAGGGCCGTCTATGCAATACAATGATCACCGTCTTCATACACTCCCCACTACCCTCATACACGGCTGACTTCCACCATGTACACTGCTAAAGTAGGTGGAGGCCATATCAGGAAGTCTATACAGACCCTATGATTTCTAATTGCGGCTCTGGCCCTATGAATGCTATAGAAGGCTTGTGGGACTAATAAATTGTACATGAATGGGCAACAAACATTTTTACACCCCAAACAGTGGTATTAAGTTGCACTGAAGCATGTCACATGTCTACTGCTCATGGAACACAGCAGGCATTATTTGCGATTCTCTCTTTGTGCTGCATTACATGCTATTTTATTTTGGGCCAACCTTAGGAATTTGGGTCCCTGCAGGTAAGGAGAGCTTGCTTTGGATGCTACCAAACATGTTCAGATTCCCTATGCCTTTTTGAAATAACTGCCATGTGTAAAAGGAGAACTTCTTTAGTTGGCAAGAAGGAATATGAACACGATCATGAGAAAAGTGATCACTTGATATAATGGTTATAAACCATATTAATTTATGGCCAATAGATATCTGGGGTTGCAACTGTGATTTCCCTAGACTTCTCAGCAGAAAGAGTTACTGAGGCCACAATTCTGGGAAAACTGAAATTGATTTTATTTGAAGGATAAAAACCTTGGAATGGAAAGTCTCTGTAAAATGATCCGGGCATACTTTCAACAAACTTGTTTTGGCACACTGTAGAGGTCTGGAAAAAATGAGGAGCTTAGCTATGTGTGTAGGAGTCTCAGTTCTTTCTCTGTAGAAAAAAGTAAAATGCTGCAGTTTATTCAGTGCTTTGGGGAGTTTGAACCCACTACAGCCGTAATGGAAGCTAGGAGATTTTATAGTAGTGAGCAATACCAATAGTGAAGCAGCTGATATACAGGCTAGTTTTTGGCTTTGAATGGGATGCCGCCAGCACTGGAGGCCAGCAGATCTGAAAAGGCCATGATGGGAGGGGTGGTCCTATAGGGCACGAATGACCCATGTATATAGATATGCCTATACAGTATATATCATGTCCTTAATCATAGAGTTTGGGATATAAACCTATGTATGCCAATGTCTGTGTTGGCCAGATTTGGCTATCGCCATGGATGGCCTTTACCCAAACAAAAAAAATAAGCATAATTTGGCTCAACTTGCTTGGCTGGTTTAAAGTGAACCTGTCAGCAATTTTAAACCTTTACAATTAAAACTGATGCTAATAGCTAGAAACACAGAGCTTCAGAATTTACCTTTAATAGCCAGTAAATTGCTAATGTGCGATTGCACAGACATTACCATGTGCACAAAAACCCAATGTGCTAATTCAGTAATTAAGTGCAAGGAGCAGTGACCTTTCTCAAACAGTCACCACTTCTGGAGTTAAGACAATGAATGATACATGCTGAATTGCTGTGGTCTAAGAAACTTTGTATATTTCCTTACAGAATTAGCCCAGACATTTTATTTGAGAAGTCAGTACAAACGGCAGTCTGGACCTCATATCTACCTTGTAATTACATTACCACATCCTGAGAATAAACTCACTTGATTTGTGTATTATTAGTCTTTTGCTTTGTTCCAGACAATGCCTGAAGACCTTCCTTTCAATATCAACATTAAGGAACCACGATGGGACCAGAGCACCTTTGAAGGAAGAGCCCGGCATTTCTTCATGGTGACAGATCCTCGCAATGTTTTACTTGGGCCGAAAGTGCTAGAGGAAGCAAAGAACATTGTTGAAAATTACAGGTTCATTTACTGATTGCTAGACCTTTTTATCCTTCAGAACTGGGTGTATACTCTTTATAAAGCAAACTGACCTAAAAACATTGGGTTGCAATAACACTATGGGGTTGATTTACTAAAACTGGGTTCAGTGCTCATGGTACCCTAGGGGAATCCAGATGGCACCCTGGTTGAGAAAGACTGATCTAAACAGACCCTTTCTCAAGTGAGAGTTGAAATACCATTAGCTCATTAGCATCCAGACCAGATGCATTGCAATGTGCTCTTAAATGAGGAATATACTCTTAAAAGAAAACGTCAGGATAAAAAAAAAAAATAAAACATCTGAACTTACCTAGATGCTGCATCTATCCCTGCCAAATCTAAGACTGAGAACTGAGCAATCAAAGACCTCTGGTCACTCAGGTTTGGTCTTCACTGAGCAGGGACAGACAGTCACTGCTCTCTGCTCTGCCCCTCCAGTGCTCACTGGAGCGCTGGACTGTGGAGGGGGTGGTAGTGGCTGGTTCCGGTTCTCAGCGGTTCACTGAGAAGCTGAGCCAGCTGTCAGTCCAGGCATCTAAGTGGATCCTGACATTAATATTGAGATCTCTCCAGAGTCTTTATGGCTCTGTGATGCTGAAAATGGATCACAGGAGGACAGAATGAAGTGCACTCCTTTGACCCACAGGACAAATAGGGCCAAAGAGCTTCGGCCCTACTTCTCCTTTAACATATTCCCTGCAATAATGGATGTCTGGCTGCCCCAAATGTTAGAATGTATGGAGAGTTCCAGCGACCCACAGTCATAAAGAGGACCACAGTCTATCTAAGCCTGACAATAATAACAGTGTGACAACAGTATAGCTCTTGGTATGTGTTGCAATTGAGCACTGGGGACCAAGGACATGTAGTTACACCTGTTGTTCAAAATAGGCGGGTGTTTTTTTGCTTTGCATCTTCATGGCTGATTTCATTAAATTTGCATGTTATAAATCTTTGATTTGCAGAAATAGAATACCAACACCAGGATTAACTGAAGACCAACTATGGAGATCCAAATACATCTACGACTCTGCTTTCCATCCAGACACAGGCGAGAAGATGGTCTTGATTGGAAGGATGTCTGCTCAAGTCCCAATGAACATGACCATAACTGGCTGCATGCTGACATTTTACAGGTATGTCCCCAGACATCCATGAAGCCAGGAAGCATTAAAAGCTCAGTAGCTAAAGGTTTATTTGCAAAACTAAAGGAAAGGAAAAATTGAGCTATTGGCTACTGTGTTTATCTAAAGCGGTGTAATTTGGAGATGTGCGGCACTGGGAAAAATGCCTATTTGGTCATTATATGCAGTGCTTTCTCTGCTGGACTCTTACAATCTGTTCTCAAACTATTTGCACCTACCATGCGTTCATTGTGGCAAAATTGCTTTTAGAAAGGCAGAGAGAGTGGTGGAGAGATCACTGCTAACTCTTTGGTAACCAGCTGGTATCTATTTCATACATAGGCATAATATTAAACACATGGTGCACTAAGATCCCCTACATTCAAAACTAGTTTGATAATTCTAGGCAGCAATATAGTTTAAAGGACTGTACGGAGAAGATATGGAACCTGCTATTGCTGACCTCTCTCTCTGAAAATGCTATTTGCTATGCTTGTTCATTACCTTTAATATTTTATGAGGGTTCATATACATGGAATGTTTTTGTAGGCATTTTTATGCCTGGCATAAATTTCCTGGCACTTTCCTGCACCTGGGGAGCCACACATACTACATTCAGCCTGCTTTACAAATGAATGGTTGTATGCGACCATACTCCTGTTAAACTTTGATACTTCTTTGCATCTGTGTTTACCCGCACATGTGCGTCCATAGTGTAACACCCTCCAGTAATATGTTAAGTGAATACAAGATGGCAATGTTCTGTGGTTCAGTTGTGCAGACTCTGTTGAAGAAAAGCTTTGTTGGACTTGTATGCTGTTAGCAGGACTTCACTGTTTAGGTAACAAGTGAACAGACTACATTTCCCAGGGGGCTGGCTAAGGGGCGGGGCATATAAATACAGAAGCCGAGGAACCAGAAGGCAGGAGATGGATGATGAGAGCCAAAGAGTGGGTGTGTGAAGAAGGCTGTGCAGGACTTTGGAGACCTGGCCTGGACCAAACCGCAGAGTGTGAAGGAGTGAGGTGGAATCGCAGGACGAGGGACCATCCTGCAGGCAGGTAGATTGGAGTGCTGACACCTGCATCGCTTTTCCAACAAAAGAACCAAGAGGACACAGGGGCCCCCCTGATGAGATACTATCTGCCGTCTTACTGAAGCTACCGATCGGGCGACAGAGTCCCATACTCAAATCTTTGCTAGTTGCAAGTGACATTGTTAAGTTCAGTTGCCTTCTTTTCAGTTCAATTCAAATTTAGTTTGACAGTTTGATAGTTCTTTCCAAATCACTTAGGTAGAAACACCTCAGAGCTGGGACTGCTGTTTGCAAGACATTTAAGAACTGATCAAAGTGTTACTGTATTTCAATAATTGGTTGAATCTCTGGGAGTGTTTAACCCTTATCCTACACACATATACCAATGTCATGTGTTGTGCTTGCACTCTTTACATTTTGACTTCTATATAACCACAACATTAGTTCACTGTAAACTGTGTGTGTGTCTATTTTTATGGATTCAAGCCAGGGGGTCCTCTTGGTCAAAGGTTTAGGGTGGTGTCAGCAGGGGTTGGGCTTTTGAGGTGGGCTTAGGACAGACAAGGAACCCAAAGATACTCAGCGGCCCTCAAGAGGGGTAGTATTTTTCGAATATGAAATGTCTGCATTTGGTAAATGCATCAGATGCACATTCGTGGGTAAATGCCAACACAAAGAAGTATCAGCATTTACAAGAGTACAGTCATATACAGCAATTAACTTGTATGGCAAGCTGTACACAACATTTGTGGCTCCCCAGGCACATAAAAGCTCTGGAGAATTTGTGCTAGGCCAAACAAAAAAAAAAAATCCTATACTGTGTATAGCATGTGTGTATAAACCCTGAGCTACTGATCCAGCACAAGCATAGAGATGAGAAATTATGACTTTTCTCTGACTTTCATTTGCTGTATGCCTGTTCCAGGTCTGTGACTTAGAAGTGTTGAATCTAACATACAGCTAAGCAACTAGCATTTTCAGGAGGACGATAATGACACCTCTTGACAGGTGTACATTACATTTGAATCCATGTATGGCTATCTCATCCACTAAGATAGTAGTGTGAAGTAAAACTAATCTTGTAATACTCTGCTCATATTTTCGACTACTTTCTATAATCTATTGACAATCTATTTTATCTGCAGAACAACTCCAGCAGTCATATTTTGGCAGTGGGTGAATCAGTCCTTTAATGCCATAGTAAACTACACCAACAGAAGTGGAGATGCACCAATTACAAACAGGTAAATGTATGTGCAAACTTCAGCCTTTTAGTACATGGCTGTGCCAAAATAACCTGTATTATTACATTGCATTGATACACATATTCCCAATGCCAAAAGTTTGAGTTGCAAAACGTCTGCCAAGAGGAGTGGGCCAAAATCGCTCCTGAGATGTGTGCAAACCTGGTGGCCAGCTACAGGAAACATCTGACCTCTGTGATTGCCAACAAGGGATTTGCCACCAAGTACTAAGTCATGTTTTGTGAAGGGGATCAAATACTTAATTCCCTCATGAACATGCAAATCAATGCATAATTTGTTAGACATGCATTTCTTTTGAATTTTTTTGTTGCTATTCTGTCTCTCAGTGTTACAATACACCTACCATTTGATTTTTAAGCTGATCATTTCTTTGTGAGTGGGCAAACAATCAAAATCAGCAGGGGATCAAATACTTATTTCCTTCACTGTAACTACTGTATCATAAAAATCTGCAACCAAGTACACAACCAAAATCCATTTTAACTAGTCATAAAAGTACCTTGAAATGCTTGAACAGGAATGATAGGTTATTTGTTCTATTTGCTGGAAGCTGGCTTGTACTCTGTATGTTTCTTTTTCTTTTGTGTGTTGACATTTGGAATGGATAGAGTTAACAGCCCTTGACCAAGGCTTGTTAATACCTGTTGCTAACAAATCAAAATGCATGTTACTTGTACAGTATTGTGATGCATTGCTATTGACTTCAATGAGCCTCCCAATGCACTGTAACACAGAAAATAAAATCAGACGTAGTATTTTTAGAAATGTGCTGCACTGTAGCACCGAGATGTGAATAGACACGATTTTTATTATGGGGAACTATAACACATGTTTTTTAGTGCATCAGAAGGTATGCGTTAAAATGCAATAATGTAAATGAACTTTTATCGTGAATATATACTGTACATTGGGATGGTAATGTTAAGTGCTTGTGCTAAAGGATTTGAAATATTTCATAAAATTTATTGTGTTTTTCAGTCATGCAAAAAGCTAAATTCCTGTTTATTTATTTCATCTGCACATGTTTAGAATGCATTTACTATGCCTTCATTTTGTTAAATAAGGAGAAATATAAGAGTATAGGACAAACTGACCTTGAAAGTATATGCATAGGAGCCCCCACCCTGAAGCTTTGCTGCTATTAACTTCAGCACTGCCAATTAAAGATTTCCTATATAGGATATACTTCTAGCAGAAGTGCAGATAGAAATAGGATACGTCTGTTAATAAAACAGATTTTGCCCATGTATCATTCACTAAGCATACTGTACACACACACCAGAATATTACATATAATAATTGTCTTTTTTTTCCTTGTAGTCAACTAGCGACAGCCTATGTGAGTGCTACTACAGGGGCTGTTGTGACAGCGCTGGGCCTGAAGTCACTGACCAAGGTAAACATGTACAGTATATTTTGTATAAAATATATTGCTCCTAACCCATAGTTGACCTTAGGTACAAGGCTGTATCTGGCAGTATAGAGTAAATTCTGGGAAATGTGCCTACTAGGAAGCCCACAGGTGTTGAGTACAACCCGCTGATAGAAGTCAATGGCTGTACATGACCATATGCATTTATATACAAGTACCTGCGTAAACATGCATACAACTTCTGGTTGCAAATTTTCGTGTCCATAGTATTACACCTGGATGCATACGTGCATTTACAGTTGCAAGAAAAAGTATGTGAACCCCTTGGGATTACGTGGAGTTTTGCATGAATTGGGCATAAAATGTGCTCAGAACGTCATCTAAGTCACAACAATAGAAGAACACAGTCTGCTGAACATAATACTACACAAACATTAGATGTTGCCATGGTTTAATTGCACATAACATGTAAACATTCACAGTGCAGGGAGGAAAAAGTATGTGAGGCCCTAGCTTAATGACTTCTCCCAGAGCTAATTGGAACCAGGAGTGAGCCAACCTTGACTCCGATCAGTGTGATGATATTGGATGTGTTGCTGACAGCTGTCCTGCCCTTAAAAAACACACACCTGTTTTGGGTTTACTGGTTTCAAGAAGCACTGTCTGATGTGAACCATGCCTCGCAGAAAAGAGCTCTCAGAAGACCTACCATCAAGAATTGTTGACTTGCATGAAGCTGGAAAGGGTTATAAAAGTATCTCCAAAAGCCTTGATGTTCATGTGTCCATGGTAAGACAGACTGTCTACAAATGGAGAAAGTTTAGCACTGTTGCTACTCTCCCTAGGCGTGGTCGTCCTGTAAAAATGACTGCAAGAGCACAGCGCAGAATGCTGCATGAGGTAAAGAAGAATCCCAGAGTGTCAGCTAAAGACCTACAGAAATCTCTGGCACATGCTAACATTTTTGTTGACACATCTGCAATAAGAAAAACATTAAACAAGAATGGAGTACATGGGAGGACACCATGGAGGAAGCCATTGCTGTCCAAAAAGAATATTGCAGCACGTTTGAAGTTTGCAAAAGAGCACCTGGATGTTCCACAGCACTACTGGCAAAATATACTGTGGACAGATGTAACCAAGATTGAGTTGTTTGGGAAGAACACACAACACTATGTGTGGAGAAAAAAAGGCACAGCACACCAACATCAAAACCTCATCCCTTCTGTAAAACATGGTGGAGGGAGCATCATGGTTTGGGGCTGCTTTGCTGTCTCAGGGCCTGGATGGATTGTTGTCATTGATGGGAAAATGAATTCCAGAGTTTATCAAGACATTTTGCAGGAAAACGTACGGCCATCTGTCCGTCAACTGAAGCTCCGCAGAGGATGGGTGATGCAACAGGACAATGACCCAAAGCATACAAGTAATTCAACAAAACAATGACTGCAACAGCACAGAATACGCCTTCTGGAGTGGCCCAGTCCTGACCTCAACCCGATTGAAATGCTGGTCAACCAGTTATTAAGTCCAAAGGTTCACATACTTTTTCCTCGCTGCACTGTGAATGTTTACATGTTATCTGCAATTAAACCATGGCAACATCTAATGTTTGTGTAGTATTGTGTTCTTCTATTGTTGTGACTTAGATGACGTTCAGAGCACATTTTATGCCCAATTCATGCAAAACTCCACGTAATCCCAAGGGGTTCACATACTTTTTCTTGCAACTGTACAAAAGTACTTGCGTATATACCAATATAGCCAGGATGCCTCCAACTTACAAGCTGACCTCAATGCACTGTTTAATTGGGCAACTGTGGCAAATGAGGTTTAATGTTGATAAATGTAAGGTTATGCACTTGGGGGCTAAGAATATGCATGCATCATACATACTGGGGGGGGGTACAACTTCAATGGTGGAGAAGGATCTGGGAGTTCTGGTGCATCACAAGCTTAATAATGGCATGCAATGCCAAGCTGCGGTTTCTAAAGTGAGCAAAATCCTCTCTTGTATTAGGAGAAGTATAGACTCCAGAGAGAGATATCATATTACCCCGGTACAAATCATTAGTAACACCTCATCTGGAATATGCAGTTCAGTTTTGGGCACCAATTCACAAAAAGATCATTGGGGAACTGGAGAAAGTACAGAGAAGGACAACCAAACTGATACGAGGCATGGAGAAGCTCAGCTATGAGGAAATATTAGAGGAACTGAATTTATTCTCTCTTGAGAAGAGGAGATTAAGGGGGGATATGATCAACATGTATAAATACATCAGTGGTTCATATAGTGAACTCGGTGTAGAGCTATTCACCCTGAGGTCATCACAGAGGACAAGGGGGCACTCTTTACGTCTGGAGTAAAAGAAATTTAATTTCCAAACACGGAAAGGTTTCTTTAAAGTGAGAGCTGTGAAGATGTGGAATAGACTCCCTCAAGAATTGGTTCTGGCCAGCTCAGTGGGTTTCTGTAAAAAAGGCCTGGATTCTTTCTTAGATACACATAATATAACTGGATACTAACATTTATAGGTAAAGTTGATCCAGGGAATATCAGATTGCCTTGAGTCTCGGGTGATCAGGAAGGAATTTTTTTCCCTGCAGGAGCAAATTGGATCGTGCTTTGCTGGGTTTTTTTTTTGCCTTCCTCTGGATCAACTGTGGGTATAGGATTATAAACTTTTTTTTTTGTTAATGGTTAAACTGCATGGACTTTTGTTTTTTTTTCAGTCAGACTAACTATGTAACTATATAGCTGCTTAAAACCATTGACTTCTATAGTCTGTACACAACCACTACAGGCTCCCTGACAGGGAAATACACTAGAATGTATGCCATACAACCAGATACCACTGGGACCACAGGCTCTTATAGCTTCATCTGTCGGTGGATCTTTTATTTATTAGCCTTATGTTACACATTATATACAGGCTACTATGGAAAACTGTAGTTTGCTACATGCAGTGCCTTATTAAAGGGAAAATACAGTGTTATTTAATTATATTAATGTAGCACTACTTCCTTAAGGGTTGCTTAATAATTTTTTGGATTCCCTGTGAATCTGAACCTCTTGTTGAAAGCCCAACCGTTGTTGACACCACCGTGCTCTCGTAACATACTGTAAGTAAATCACATTTGTAAAATGGACTCACTCACACACAAGGTAGGATAAACCAATATGACGTTTATGTTGGAGTTAAAGGTAACTTGGTTAAAAAGAACAAAATGACACGGATATATGCAGCAAAAAAATAATCACTCTTGGCAGTTGTGAGCAAAAGTAACAACATTCACAGTAAAGTACCAATAATAGTTAGTAGGCCTGCTTTCAGAAATAATCCACTGCCTTCATTCTGAGGGCATGCTGAATCCTTAGTGAGCAAACAACTATCAAGAAAACAAGTAAGCTCACTGTGGGTCCTCAGATTTTCACTGCTCAAAAAAATTAAACACTTTGAAAACGCATCAGATCTCAATGGGGAAAAATATCATGCTGGATATCTATACTGATATGGACTGGATAATGTGTTAGGAATGTAAGGATGCCCCATCGTTTGATGGAAATGAAAATTATCAACCTACGGAGGACTGAGTTCAAAGACACCCCAATTTGCTGAAATTTCATTGCAACTTAAAGTAGTTTGTATGGCCCCCACGTGCTTGTATGCATGCCTTACAACGTTGGGGCATGCTCCTAATGACACAACGGATGGTATCTTGGGGTATTTCCTCCCAGATCTGGACCAGGGCATTACTGAGCTCCTGGACAGCCTGATGTGCAACCTGGTGGCGTCGGATTGACCAAAACATGATATCCCAGAGGTGTTCTATTGGATTTAGGTCACACGAGCATGGGGGTCATTCAATGTTATCAATTCCTTCATCCTCCAGGAACTGCCTGCATACTCTAGCTGCATGAGGCCGGGCATTGTTGTGCCGCAGGGGGAACCCTGGACCCACTGCACCAGTGTAGGGTCTGACAATGAGTCCAAGGAACTACTTAACTGACCAGATCAATATTCCAGGAGTTTAATTGATTTAATTGATTTGATACTATACTCCTGATTAAAAAGAGTTCCTTTTATTTTTTTGAGCCGTTTAGATGACAAGGATTAGATGTGAAGGAAAGAGAATTCTAATTTGAAATTGAGCACTGTCCCTTTAAGAACACTACAATGGTAACATAAAGATAGTGATGGAACAAGGGAGATTTAACACTTTTCCTCTTGATGGTAGCAAATTAGGGCGAATTAGGGCGAGGTCCCCTTTAAAGCACTAAACATGGGCAGACTTGAACTAATGAGTAGCAACAATTGGCATAAATGTCTTTAGGCAAAAACAGCTCCCTTTGTACATCAAAGGCAAAAATAAACAGTAATGGGAATCCTGCTTTGTTAAAGAAGAGAAACTTGTTGATTTAGTTGGCTCTGGCTTGTACAATAAATTGTAATGTAGATGTATCCCAAGGATGGCTGCTGCAAACTGAATCAACTAACTGTAATGTTCACAACTATGTGTAGGTAGATACCCGAGGTGGCAAACTGTCATTATTCACTTGGTTAGTGGGTGCATGGGTCTCTCTCACCCGATCAAAGTAGTGCAGCAGATTGCAGCGGTCTGTTCAGATTGGCCTGCTGGGCAGCGTGGCAGACTGGGTGGTCAGTAGGCTCTTTTCACTCTTCCTCTCTCTCCAACCCTTGCTCTGCGGCTTAGTTCAGCACTTCAGCCCTTAGCTCACTTCCTTCTCTTTCAGTCCCTCCCCGCACTCTCTTGGTCAATCTCCCAGGCTTTGATATTTATATGCCCCCACCCACACAATTCCTGTCTTGGGAAATGTAGTCCCTGACTGCCCTGCTCACCAGTCCTGCTATACAGCATACAATTTCCACAGAGCTGTTCTGTCCATGTGAGTGACCCTGAATGGCAGACCACCACCATCTAATGTCCATTTTAATGTATTTTTTTTAGCTTTTGGACAGAGTGGGGAAGAGGTTGAAAATGTTTTCATTTTTTTTCCCATTTTGTGTGTGACCCTACTGAGGAATTTTTTTTCCTTACTTCCTGTCCCTGTGACAGCCATACAAGAAATGTGGGATAGGGTTGTCAGCGGGACAGAAACATAGGGACTGCAGTAAATATTGCCTGTTCTAACCCTTCCCAACTAAAAATCCTCAGACTTGGCTGAGACTGAAATTGAGATGCTGAATCATTAAGATGGCCAAGTATAGACAAATCCTGGCCAAATCCAGGGTCCCAATGTTGTAGTGAAGTTAGAGTTTAGGGTTAAATATAGGTTGAAATTAGTTATTTTCACCATTAGATGCTTGTGTTCAAGAATTTTGCAGCCTGTTCTGAAATCTCTTTGTTGAAGCTGATCCTTCCTTCTTCTTTCTAAGCACCACACATTACATACATTGTTAGTTCTCATGCAGTGATAGGCAAGATACACACTGGACCTGTTATGTCTTGGAAACTGAAAACTCATGGAAAACCATCTACCCCTCTATGGCCTCCCTAAGGCAAATCATTATGTAGCACCAGAAAGAAGGAAGCAGAGCATGCATACGTAATTAACTCAGATGGCTTCCCCCATGTGAGGACATAATTACAACTAAGAAACATATTTTTGTTCAGATGTCAATGCAAACTAATAAAATTTACACCAAGCAGATTGTTTTCACTTTGACCCGGAATGTTCCTGGTTCAGGTCATTAACTGAAAGCATTAAAGCGAAGGGTAAACATGAAAGTCGGGGAACTAGGATTTTCAGTGGGATAGATCAGCAATGGTAGCATGCTCAGCCAAAATGACTTGTTTTCACTACCTCTGTAGCATTCTCAGTACAGCAAGCCATACCATGGCACTCTCTGTAAGCCTTGTGAGCTTCTTGATGTTACATGTACTCAGGTAATATATTTTCAGCATAATAAAAATGTTTTTCCATTGTTTATTGGCAGCATCTGCCATCCCTGGTTGGTCGTTTTGTGCCCTTCGCTGCTGTAGCAGCTGCCAACTGCATCAATATACCCTTTATGAGACAACGGTAAGGTCATTTTCTTATATTGTATATGTACATAGGTGGGTTACCATTGAAGAAAGACAAGTGTCCATTGGCTCAGACTTGCAAAAAAATCTATCTGACCCACAGAACTACCTGTTGAAGCGTTTTTAATATTCATGCAATACAGCAATTATTTTGATTTGCAGGTCCATGCAAGAGTAAGGTCTATCCATTTACACCGGGGGTCAGCAACCCGTAGATTGCGATCTACCAGTAGATCACGAACAGGTGACTTGCAGATCGCGGTCAGGGCTTGCTGACCCGCCATTCCAGAGCATCAAACAGAGTGCAATGCAGAGGGACTACTTATAATGTTGGGAGTAGGGAGCAAGAGCCGCAAAAGCTGTTGCCTCCTCTGTAGTGCTGCCTCCTGTCCCATGCAGAGTGATACCAACTGCACTCCTCCTATTATCCCGGCTAGCAGTCTCCAGAGTGGTGCCAACAGCAGAAAAGAAGAGATCTTCAGATCACTGTGAAGCAATACACTGGACATAATAGTATAGGGCTGCTTTCACACTGATGAGCTGCGGTTTACCTGCAGCTTTCCTGGGTTAGCTGTGCTTAGACATAGACTTCTATTATACTCTGTGGGTTTGGTGCACTCCTGAATGTAAGAGTTTTGGTGTGTTTTCAGAAAGTGCACAAAACTCACAGGATATAATAATGTCTATGGCAAAGCTTTTGGGGGTGGTAAAAACTGCGACTCAGCTTTACATATGAACAAGCCCTAAGAGTGCGGCTGCCGAATGCAATTAAGGGCTCACTCACAAGAAGGCACTGCTGCTCCTCTGAAAAGCGATCAGAGTGTGGCTGACAGGTAGTGAGGAGGTGATATGTTGCGACACAGTAGGACGGCAATTAGAGGTTTAAATCAGGTGTGAGGTGATACTGTACCCGGTGATCTTTGACTCCTCCTATGGTGTTCAGGTAGATCTCCACCTCTTTAAGGTTGACTACCCCTGATTTACATTCACTGCCTGAGAACCATGGTGAGACAGTAGCAGAAGTGGATGGCAAGTGGTTCCCTGTGTAGTGATGCCCTGAAATGCATGAGTCTTAAGGCTAGGTTCACACCTTTGCAGTTTGCATTTGATCCGTTTCTACAGAGCTTTTTGCGGCGTCTTTTGCGTTTTTTTTCCCCAACTTGTTGCTGGGCAGAATAAAAAGCAAAAACACATAAAAAAAAACGCACTACATGCTTTTCTGCAGCGTCTCCATTGATGTCTATAGAACCAAAAACACAATGTTTCCCGGTCCCTCACCGTAGTCTTCTGGGACACGTGACAGGTCCATTCACAAAGTGCAGCGCTTCTCACGCATGCGCAGTGGACACCCAGCCATGAAGCCGCAAGCTGTCACAGCCGGATGCCCACACTGAAGATGACAGCGCCAGGGAGAGAAGAAGGTGAGGACACCGATGGACTGAGGAACAGGGAGGACCGCTGGAGGTCTGCAGGTTCTGCTGCACAGAAGAGCCGAGCGGCCGGCCCGGTATTCTAACACGGCGGCGGCGGCGGGGGGAATAGCGGTCCAGCCGCTCCATATTCGCTCCATAAGACACACAGATATTTTCCCCCATTTTTTTGGGGGAAAAAAGTGCATCTTATGGAGCGATAAATATGGTATTTCCCTGCTCTGGCCAAGCAGGGCATCAGCTTCACAGCAAGATATAGCAACTTTACAAGAGTAAAATAGAGGAGCGGGAAGCTATACAGTATGGAAGAAGAGTTTTATTATTAAAAAATGTAAAGTAATGCATTTGAGAGCTAAACATATAGATGCATATTACTCTCTAGGGGGCAATCAAGGATGGAAAAGAATCTGGGGGACCTAGTAAATTACAGACTCAGCAATATCATGAGATGCCAAACTCCAGCAAGCAAAGCTAGCAGACTATTAGCATGCATTAAGGCTCCATTCACAATTGTGCGACTTCAAAATCGTGCAATTTTCATTGCGAATTTACAGGGCGACTTGACATGACTTTGGATGAGTGCGATATTGGTGCGACTTTGGCTTTGACCAAGGATGATTGTTTGTGCTCTACAAAGTCGCACACAAATTGCATGTATATCATTCAGGTGTGACTTTCATGCGACTTTGGAGGGTTTACATTGAAGTCTATGGCCCTAAAGTTGGACCAAAGTAGTGCAGGAACTACTGTCAAGTTGGAGAGAGTCCAGAGAAGGGCAACAAAGCTAATGTGGGGGCCAGAGGACCTCAGTTATGAGGAACAACTGCAAACATTAAAATTTCCCTAGAGAAAAGGCGCTTGACCATGCATCTCTTTTTCCTGATATTGGGGGCCGGGGATACCGGATACATACAGACAATCAGTGTGCCTGTATTCCATAGTCTGTACAGCCTGAGGCAAGAAGCAGGCTGTGCTTGAACAGAGGCTGTTCAAGAGGCAGTTTGTGATTGGTTGAGGGGATGGCGTGGCTGAACAGACTTCGCATGCTACGTGTCTGCACAGTATCCTGTAACCCTGAATGACCAGCCAAAGGATGAAAACTGACTACGCTAACACAGATCAGCTTCTGTGCTTTGTGTGGTCAGTTTAGAACAAGAAGAAAGGTGACTGGCAGGATCATTTAGGTACTTCAGATGGAAGAAATACAAGAAAATGATAGAGATAATGTACATAGCAAACAAACATATATTTAAATATGGATCAAGTCAAACATACGTGCACACTTTCTTATATTTATTATGCTGAGCCAATTTGTTTTCAGAATTTGTTTTGTATCTTCGCCATTCGTTTTGTATATTCATTGGTCTGGGTAGATTCAAAAAATTTTGCAGTTTTTGTGGAAGATTGCTACTGTATATAGTAGTTTTCAGTTTCAATATTTCGGGTGGATTCACACACACACACACACACGCTGAACTGGATAGACTGGTGTCTCTATTCAACCTTAACAACTATGTAACTATGTCTAACTTATTTATGTGACCTCTTGTAAAATATTGCAGGTATGTTCATCTTTACCACATGAAGATGAAACACTAAGGCTCCGCTCACAACTCTTTCCGTTTCCGATTGTACAGTAAATCACACAAAAAATGTGCACTTTGCCATGCATTGCCACTAAATGTTAATGGCGCTCCAAGCACTGCCAACGCACCAAAACGTGTGCTGAAAAAAAATATCCAGGAGCTTCTATGAATCATTTGTTGCATGTAGGGCAGTCTATTCAAGTGAATGGACTGCGCTAAGGTCACAAATTGACTAAATAAACTGCAATCTTTAAAGTGATAACTGCAGTCAGAATTGGGATTAAAAACTCTAACTCTTCCTCCTCTACCCCTCCCCCTGGGTAGATTTGACAACACGGGAATTAGGAATTATATATATACACAGGCAGTTATGCAGGGGTTGAAACAGGAGATTTCACTACTGAATAAACAGTTAGTGTCGGAGTGGACAAACCTGGATGTTAAAACATTTGAAACCCGAGTAATGGAGAAAGATTCTGCGGGCTGTTTTGATTTTTCTAAAGAAAGTACAAAGGTTCATTTCCAAGGATTACAGCATTGTGAAATTTAGAAATGCCAGACCGAAGGATCAGAGCGGACAGTTTAGGAGCAACCCTGGGGGGAGGGGCTTTGCTTCCCATACCATATCTGGGAGTTGGACAATTCCCTTCAAAATCCAAACCAGACCCAAAGGGCTTGCCATGGATTGGGGGGGGGGGGGGGGGGCCACACCATTTTCTAAATAATTTTTTAATTTCCGGAATTTTTTTTTTTTTTTTTTTGCATTCAGCTGTCAGTGGGGAACCCCGTTAACAGCTGATATCTTATAGGTTGTTAGGGACTCGGCGGCCACGCATTCCTTAACAACCAGGGTGGATTTGATTTAAATCAAACTGATTTAAATCACGATTTAAATCACTAGTCAGTAAGGCTTGATTTAAATCATAGTTTTCTACATAAAGACTAATTCTTGCTGGTATAACTTTAATATGCAAGTAGATGAAGATTTTTAGAATAACAACTTTTCATATTAGGAAAAATGTAAAAATATAGTGAGCGCTCTCAATAATTAGCAGCTGAACATTCAAGGAAAATGCATAAAAGTCCCAAGAAATATATATATAAGTAAAATGCAGCGCTATAAATATATCATAAATGGTTAAATAGATAATGATAAGACACAGTCAAGTGAAAGGTGCTCGTTGATTCCCGGTGCAAATGGTAGAAATGCGCACTAACCAGAAGCGTATATGTAATAAGCATGTGAATAAATATCCTGAAGATTCCCCTCTCCTTTCTGGTCTGATCACGGGAATAGCTGGAAAGAATGAAGATCAAGCGCCCTCGTGTGGTGAAGATGTGGTCCAGCAGGTCAGAGAAATCTTTGCCAAGATGTAGTTCCACCTCTCAGGAGCTGACACAGGAATCACTCAGGGCTGTAAAGGTTGAAGAAGCTCCTTGCAGGAGACACAGGGAAATACTCATAGTGTAGTAGGTAACTGACTTTATTAGAAAAGCATGGGTGCATAGTACAATCACAGTGGTGCCAAGTATGGGTGAACACACTGACCCTTTAAATACAAAGATGGCCGCCGGGCCTCCACGTGGCACCGGCAGCGTAGTGTCAACGGCGTCCTGGGCTCCACCTAGGTCTGACCTGCTGGACCACATCTTCACCACACAAGGGCGCTTGATCTTCATTCTTTCCAGCTATTCCCGTGATCAGACCAGAAAGGAGAGGGGAACCTTCAGGATATTTATTCACATGCGTATTACCTATACACTTCTGGTTAGTGCTCATTTCTACCATTTGCACCGGGAATCAACGAGCACCTTTCACTGGACTGTGTCTTATCATGAACTTTTCATATTAGTTTTTTTATCCCCAGTTTAATAGGTTAATCATTCATATTTGGACAACTTTTCTGTTGTACTTAGGAAGGAGAAAAATAATCATTACCTTAATAATAACAATTTAAATAGATTTATTCAACTGAAACAAT